TCAAGCAAAAACCTTTTTTAAAATATATGTGAACTGGAAAGTACAGCCAATGCATAATGGTTGTAGAATCATCAATTTCTTAACTGCCTGCTTTGAAGATTAACTTGGATTGATAATTCCAGCTACTGTTTGCATGATGACTCTCAGAGGTTCATTAGAGATCATAGACTGATATACACAACACTCTCAGTGTTTATGATACCATGCAATGAGAATGATCTTTGCTTTGCTGTTTGATTGTAGAAGCCAGAATTGAGTTCTTCCACCCACTCTTACACTTAGAAGTAAATCTGGAGGCTATTGTAATAAACCAGTAGCATTTAGAATAATTCAGGTAAACAAAAGGGTAAGAAGCCTTGCCATTCATATCTTGAGACACTATTGTCTATATTTATAAGAAAAAAATCTTGACTGACTTTATTCCTTATTCTATCATTTTTATCACCCTCCAAGTAAATCCTGTTGTGCTCATAAGCCCTTATAAGGCCATGCAAATACAATCTCCCTTCCCTCTCCATATCTAATTTACTGGTAACTTCCAGGGTGTTCATTGAATCCACTTCTCATGTTCCCAGCTCTTGGCTCTTGCATTTGCTGTCCCCTTGCCTGGAGCATCCTTCCCCTTCTACATTCATGTGGTCTGCCTGACCTCTCTCACAGCTGTCTGCTCAGGAGTCACTTTGTCACTGTGGTCTTCACCAACCCTCCATTTAAAATACTTCCCATTCCCTTCCCTGTCTTTGCTTTAGCACTTAACCCCCTGATTCAATTTGTTTTCATCTATTATTGTCTTTCTCCCTTCACTAGAACATGAAGTCCAGGAAGGCATGAGTTTTGTCTTATGTAGTTGACATTGGCTTTCCAGTGCCTAGAGCATTGCCTGGCAGTCAGTGGGTACTCACAAACTGTTAAGTGAATGAATAAATGAATGAACACCATAGGATTCACTGAGCAATTAATATATGCCACTTACTATGCATAATAAAAGGTGTTTGGGGTAAAGAAAGAAGTAACCAAACAATTACAATAATGTTGTCAAGTTCTATGAAAAGGCCCTAACATAGGGATGCTTTGGAGAACAAAAGAAGGGAACTGAACCCCACAGGCAGGGGCACTGAGCTCTGATTTATAGATGGTTGCAGGAGAGAGGAACAGAGAGAAACCCCTTATTGCAACAGGCAGCCAGAGGTGTTGGAAGCATGGCTTATGGGATGATGTACAACTATTACCAAAAGCCATCAAAGGATGTTTAAGCAGAAATATGGAACCATTAGCATTCTAGAAAGCTCACTCAGACAGCAGTGTGCAGAAAGACTGAAGGAGGCTAAAAGTAGAGTGGCCATTAGATGGCTGTCACATTAGCTAGGTGAAAGAGAGATGAGGGCTCCAACAAGGGCACAGCAGTGCAGCTGGAGAAGAGGACTGGACCAGAGAGAGAGTCTTATGTATCCGAGGGGCTCAGAGCAGGAGTAAAGAATCACTCTCAGGCCAGAGTTAACTGATATTGGGGAAGATGATCACCAACGTGGGGACTATCGTATTTCTTTAACTTACTTGCTCACCATGTGCTGAAAATTGTACATAATATTCAGAAATGGAATCTAGCAAAGGAAGGGGAAACAGGAAGGAAAATCAAGTGCGCTGTATAATTCCTTACTAGTTTACAAGTTTCTATCTGAACTTTGGCCCATTTTTCTGTGGTCTTTTATGGAAGATTGTGGAAACTCTGGTGTAAAGATCTACATGGCGTTGGTAATTCATACTTAGAATTTTTCAGTGTCTCATTTGATTTTCATCTTTTGAGTAGAATTATGTTCATAATTATGTGCATAATTCTTCAATGCAAAGTTTAAGCATCTTATATCAACCAGAAACTATAGTGAGATGAGTATATTTTAAGATTCAAATTATAGTGGGAATTTTTGGAGTTAAAGAAATATAGCTTAATAGGTTAAGATTCTATGTGTTGCATAATTTCTAAACTTGAAACATAGAAACTATCTGGAAAAATAAAAATTTTATTTTGAGTATTTCCACCTTATTTGGTTGTGTGCAAAGTGTATGCAAATTTCAAATTTGCCTGTCAAGAAAATGTCTAAGAAAGGAGCACTTCATTGATTAATAAAAATGGACCAAGAAGATTATAGCCCTACTTTGGAAAACTACTTGATCCAAACTTGTTGAGTTATGGGGATAATAATAATGGACTTACTTTAGAAATCTTAAACCACTAGAATTTTAATTTTCAGAATAATAAGAAGCATTAGTTTCACTAGTAAATAATGAATTGATGACTTACTTCATTCAGCTATTGTGCAGGCTGAAAGTATAAATAAATTCAGAAAGATTAGGTCAATTAATGAATGAATCTATGGTATTTGTCCATTGCTTTATTTGTACCAGAAGCCACAAGACTAATCAAACGTAGACATCTTAACCAACTGGCAACATACTCTAATTTCAAAATAAATGTTAAGCAGGGAAATCTTATTTTGTAAGTTTAAATTTAATTATTACAACATTAGAGGTACATAGTAGTAGTATTCATCCAAGGATACTAAAAACGCATGTAAAATATTGCTCATTAAAATAACTGGGGTGTGTACGTTTGTGTGTATACTTACAAATGTATATCTTTGCCTTACGTCCAACTCTATTCCCAGTTTCCTCTTGGAAATGGATTATATTCTCCTTGGCTAGATAGCATTTTTTTTTACTAATGTGTTCAAAAGCTGAGAATGTATTCTTGGCAGCAGAATTATGACTATAAGACATGTATTCACAATTCAAAATTAATGTTAAATATTAAAAACTGCTTTTATTTTTCTAGTTTACCAAAAATAACACTAATTTCCTAAAAGTGAAGGGAACAATAATGCTTTCTTTACAATTATCCATTAATATTGCATTAAAATAGAGAACTAATATAATTTTATGGATTTCAGAGCTATGATCAGTTTTTCTAAATCTCTGATTTAATGTGACCATAAGCATAAACCAAAATAGAAAATACCAGATATGTTGGCCTCTAGTTAAAATATTTGATGTAAAATTTTCTCTTATTTTCATTTTAAATAGTCTGTTCCAGGGTTATATATCCATGTAATGAAATATCCAGTTTTAGGGAATAATATTTTTTCAAGTGGCAAAGTTAGGTTTACAATGGGAAAGAAACCTTTTGTGAATTGAACCTACACATTTTCAGTCTAAACATTGCATTAATGTGCTCCTTGTTATATGATTTCCTTTCTAACATCAACATTTTAAGACATGAAATGCTCTAGAGACACTTGAGAAAATGGAATCCTAGACAATGATAAGACCCACGGCTTGTCTTCATTCTCAGATCTCCTATCACCACAACCTCTAAACTCTGCCTTTTACTCAGCATTAACATTTACTTCCCAAACAATTTACCCAAGTGAGGAAATGATTAAACATGTTTATGTGCTAAGGAGAAGGAACTGGTGGAGAAGGGGAGGCTCTGATACGGATGTAGGGGTAATTGATGGAAACAGATCCCTGAGGACAGAGGCCAAGGATGGATTCCAGAGCCTACCAAATGAATTGGCCTTGCATGGGAGGTGGGAATCTTCTTTCTCTGATACCGGAGAAGGGTCCATGTGGATTGGGGTTGATGAGAGACATGATGTCGAGGGAATTTACACCTGAAGTCTCTTATTTTCTCTGCAAACCTGAAACAGAGAATTTTAAATAGAAGAATTAGAATGGGTAGGGAGAGTGACCACAGATATGTAGATAGCAAGCTCATTAAAATTTTGGTGGGTTGGTTGAGGATATCAATAGGAATATATAAAAATGGTAGTAAATGGTGAACTTTCAATAACCTAAAGCTGATTATATGAGGAAATTATTAGTCTTACTTGTAGGATTACAAAAGATCCATGAGGAACAGTTTCACCAATGTTCCTGAACATTGTGTATTTTTAATTTTAAACAATGATGCATGACTAGTTCTTCCTCTAATGACGACCCTAGTGTTTTATTTAATGTAACTGAGTATGAATCTAAGATCCTAATTAATGGAAATGTCACACATTGAAATTAAGATTGCCATTAATTAAAGTGTATTGAGCAAAAGAGATTTTACATGAAATGATAATGTCTATAACTTCACTAAACCATACAAAAAAGTAAATATATTTTTGAAAGGATTAGAAGTATTTAATATTTTAATTTTAAAATAGAACAAAAAGTCAGAAATGTAGCTATATGTCCTTGTGTTCCTTTCCACTCTCCCAAAGCCATGCCTTGCTCTAAATAAAGCCAACAGAATCCCAACACTGACTTTGTGGTTTTTAAACTGCTAAATCTCAAAACTGTCACATTTACATTTTCTGTGTAAATGTTCTCATTCATCTCACTAAACATTGTATCCCCCAACTCCCATTATAGACTAAGCAACAGTTGGCAGCATCTTTTGTTCCCTTTTCAGGTACAAACTGAGTGCCACAGTTGACCTTGGCCACCCCTAGTTTGTAAACAAGTTTTTGTGCAGGTCAATTGACCACATTTTCTCTGAGAAAGAATAGAACAAATCTTTGTAAGCTATTTAATTATTTCCTTTGCAAATCTGCTTACTGAAGTTTTGCAGATGCAGAATTCACATAATGTCTGTTAGTTGGGGAAGGGCATTGCATTGTAACAGCTTCTAGCAAAAATACCTGCAGCCCCTCTAAATGAGATTGATATGATAGATCTGCAAGTATTTGAAGAAACAGAGGCACTGGAACAGCAAATGTTCTTTTTTTTTTTCTCCCTGGAGAAACAATCAGAACCCTATTGCATATGCTGAATGTTCTTCAAAAAAGAATAAAATGGGAAAAAACACCCATCTGTACTTCCAACTGAAAATTTTCCTTGAGCATCACTGTATTTCAGTAGAGCAAAGAGAACCTACAGATTAGGACAGATTTAATTAGTCATCTAAGCTTGAATGGCTATAGTGTTATGTTGATTAAATTATATTTCTTTTTCAGGGTCCTCTGGGGCCTCCAGGACAAAAGGTAGAGTATCTAACAATGCTGTGGAAGTAATTATACTCCCATCGCCTAATGGCTTGCAAGAGAGGTGGGCAGAATTAGCTACTGTAAGCCATGCTGAAGCAGTCTGGTTTGTACATTCTGCTTTCTAAAAATAATTCATACAGAGTAGCATTAGATTTCTAATCAACTCCATTGTAGAAAATTCTGAAAATCCACAGCAGACCATGTTAAGCTGTCTGCTGAGAGTGTCGGTTATTGAATTTTTAATTCAAATACTGTTTAAACAATGTGACAAAACTTAAAATGCAAAAGATCGAATGACATTGCAAATTGAATGCATGGTCTTGCTCAAATATGTAATAACCAAAGGGCCACAGAACTGCCCAGGACGAAAAATGTGTTTGTTGCTGCATTTCAGGGGTCCACTAAGTGTCCTCCTTTGCCAAGGTAACTGAAAAGTGACTTCCTGATTGTCATTTCAGTGTTATCCACAGTCATCCAAATTGACCATTACAGTCTCCTGGGGGAGAATCTAGGGTTTCTAAAATTACACCAATACCACAGAGGTAAATATGTCACTAGCAGGAAGAAGGCTCTTTGCAAACAAAATAGAAGGAAGTCCCCCATTCCCCACTAACCTCCCCTCCTGCAGGGGGGAAAAAGGGATAGTTAACCTGCAGAAAACTAAAGAAAACAATTTTATTATAACAGGTGGAAAAGTGATTATTCTTTATCTTTGGAATCCATCAAAGATAGAGACTTTTTATCCCCCAAGCACTGGGCATGTGGCATCTGTTGAAACATAATCCTACAAACCAAGTAAAAGCCAATGAGTTGTGAGACAACTTGTGTATAGGAACACTTTGTCCCTCTCAATAATGTCTCTATTAAGCATGGTGTGAAATTGTAAAGCTATCCTAATCCACATTCGACTAGGATAAAATTACTGCTTCAGCCTTCGGGAAGTACTTTAATGACCCACCCCATATAATCATTGAATGAACCAAGGAATTTACCATCTTAATTTGTTTTGCATATAATTACTTTTTGGGGGGAAAGGGTAGACTGATTTTTAGAACAGATTTTGGTTGGTCATTACTATTAAAAAAATTTCCCATTATTATTAAAGAAATTTAATATACATCTACAAAGAAGAAAATCTGTTTTCTAGTTCTAGACAAAGAATAAGCACATTGTATTTTAAAATGATTTCTCCAGAGCCTAAAAGGGAGGTGTAAGGGAAGGAAATGACATCACTGTTTGCTAATGCTTCTGTGTCCACTTAAATGACTTAGATTTTCTTGAGTCAAATTAGCTTTCCTACTCTCAGTGCACCCCATCTATGCCCAACCATCCATACTCACCCAAGTATGTATGTATGCACTTGCACGCACACATATCTTAAAATGTTTTGTGCAGAAGGTTTTTTTTTTTCCTGATCAGTGTATAACATTTATGATATTTTTTGAGTCCACTCTGAAGACATTCAAATTTGGGTGGCATAAACATACTACCTGAGAGTCCAGGGGGAAAATACTCCAAAGACAAAAATCTTGAGTTTACAACATGGGTCCTTTATTTAGGTGTAGGACAAACAGTTGTTATTTTAGTATATTTTTATGTTATTTACACTCTTGAAATTCAAGAATTACTGCTAGTGTAAGGCTTTTTCCAGATGGAACAAAGGCTATTTATTTCTTAACAACAAAATTTAAAGCCATATAACTTTCTGATAGATATGGATCTCAATTTATGACATGAAATTCTTTAAAATCATATTAGGGTTAAGTGGATATTTGGAAACAAGTTTAAATTTTAACTTGAGTTTTTGAGAAAGCTTGAAGACTACCTATGTTATATATTTTCAGATAGTGAATAAGATCTGAAAAAAACATAATCTTATAATTTTTTGCACATAAGTTCTGTGATGTTTTACCAAGGTAAAGTTATGACTGACATAACTAACACAATATAAATTTAGAATTGAAATATTGTGTGATTATGCAATTTAATTTAATTATGAATCTCCTTAGGGTTCCATTGGAGCACCTGGAATCCCAGGAATGAATGGACAAAAGGTGAGTTCCTTTGAATATATAATTTCTTTTATAATTTGGAGAGCATTCAAATCACAAAATTATTCTAGTGAATGAGTTAACAATAAGTTTTTGTGCTTATACAAGTACTACATGTACTTCTGAAGTATGGAAAAGTATGGTACAAATGATCAAATCTGTGTCATTTTGAAAAAGGCACTAGTCAGAAACTGAAAAATTTCCATTGTAAGTATTTTGAATGCCAGTTTGATCAGTTATATGTATGATACAGCTATATCTTTTTCATAAATATAAATGGCTTAGGGAAATGCCAAATTTAACATTTTTCTTGAAGAACAAAATGCACTCTAGTTTATTCTAGTCATGGTTAAACTAGGTACTGTTTCTGGGTTAACAAAAGTTATTTTTACAGAGGGAACCTATAAAACCTTCTGAATCCAGAAGCAAGCTTTTTTAATTGTTGAACAGAATGAGGGTTAAATACGCTTGCCATACTCATATTAATACTTTTGTGGTACTGTTAATAGCGAGGGAGAATAATAAAGTAAAACCAGAACTTCACAACTCCACATACCCATATTTCCATGCCTCAGTGTATTTATTCCTTCCACATACTTACCGGTGGACAAAGCATCTAGCGTAATCCCGTGGATAAGTCTGATATTCTGTGTTCCCCAACAGTCCTGACTGGCTCTGCAATCTGGAACCTCTACAGAGACCAGGAAAGCCATTGTGAGAGCTGACAAAGCCCATGGCTGGGCTAGTCTACCAGAAGGCAGGATGCAGAGTTAGGGACTTTCCTGTCCCCCTCAGAGATCTGAGCCTAGGCTTTAGAAATCCTGTGACTCATCTGCTTGTATTCCCAGAATATTTTAAATCCATGTGCCCTGGACCAAACTCTGAAATTATAAGGAGGCCAGCCTTTGCAGAGAGACTAAGATGCCTCATAATCCTTTCCATCTTTTCTCCATCTTGGCTTCTCTATCAGAACTTGCAAAGTGGCTAAAAGCATGAGTGTGCTACTTAGAGGTAATGTGAATTTGACCAAGTCCTTAAAGTTTCTGGCCTCAGTTTCTCCTCTGGAAGAGAGAGACAGTAGCAGATCCTTCCCAATAAGGTCAATGTAAGGAACAGACATGAAGCCCTTACATTAGTGTTTGCTATTACTAGTAAAATTTCCCTTCATTTTATTTTAGTGAAATTCTGGAAATTTGATGAATCTATGTTTAGTAAAGACTCTCTTTCGGAATTACTCGCCTCTCAAGTGAAATTAATGTTCTTGACCCAGGCTTATGGCACCCTTAGGCCATAAACCAAGCATGCAGCATTCATTCAAGGCTAGCTAACCATGCCGCAGCTCCATTTTCCACTTTGTAAAATGCACGTCCCTTTGCTTCACAAATTCTGGTAAGGACAGAAGATTAACTTTCTGGGTGGAGCATTGCAGGTCATGGAGGGAAACATAAACACAATTCGTAAGTTTGTCCTTTTTAGGATCAATTGAAAAATTATATAACTCGAAATGTTTTTTAACATTGGTGAAACCCAAAACTTGTGTGCCTATGGTTAATGTTTTGCTTTGTCTTCTTTGTTTCTTTTTCTTTTTCCCACAATCATGAAAATTTATAGAAACCTTTAACCTGAAACAAAACAACTTTAAAGCTGTCACATGGATTCTTTTGAAGACTGCGTATTCTTTATTTTTGCAAGGAAATATGCAATTTCCTTAGCAAGAGAAAGGAATGTGACATTTTCTTGTCCTAGTCACCAAGTTTAAATTATATTTCAAGGAACGAGACAGTTAATATTTGCAGTTTTATGTTTTGTTATACATCCTTGTGGCATTTGCAATGTGTTTTCTCTAAAACCTAGAGAAACCAAATGTTTTCACACTTTTATGAAGGTCTCAGCAAAATGTAGTTTGAGTTTGTTTTTTCTGCTTCATCAATCTAGACACAAAACTCTGTATATGGAACTTCTGTTCATCCTCCTTATTATTTAACAGTGGAATAGCTGTTATGTTGTCTTTAGGAAAAGACACTGAGATGGCTGGTCATTTAGACAGTAAATACAAGGTTGGCAGTACTATAATAATTCTATAGCTCGGACTCACAGAAGGAATCTTGAACTTCTAAAAGTGCTTTTCTAAAAGAGAGAGCTTATAATTACATAATAATTTTTAAAAAGCACTCCATGTCCTTAAACTGTCTTGAGAGAACATTTTCTTCCACATTATAGATTCACTGTTTCTGAAGAAATACTTTTGATGCCCAGAAAATCATTTTCAAACAATTGTTAAAAGAGGGTTATCATTTCTAAGCCATGAAATATGGCAAATAACAACCAGGAAATAAAAAAAAAAATGTTTTCTCTTGTGTTTGAAAAACAAAGGAAAAGTAAATTATCTCGATACAATATTTTGTTTTCTACAAGACATTTTTATCTGTCATGCAGTTTGACAAAATTGGTAATTAGCCTTGGTCATTTGATGGTGATTTTTTTTGCACTTATTTTCCTCTATTAGTCACCTTACTTGCTAATCTGAATGTTAGTTTTTTGTAATGGTCTTCTAATTCTTTAGATTGTGCTAGGGAAAAAAAGACTCGCAGTAACCCAGCACTAAACTCTAATCTAGTTCCTTCTAGCATCCCAACCTACACTAGTTACTAAGCATCCTTCTGTGAAAAGCAGGAGCCTAGTGAGGTGTAGAGGAAAGAATATGGTCTTCCAGTCAAAGACAGGGTGCTTGTGTTTAAAAAGGTCCTTGCCTGGGCAAGTTACAGAACCTGTTTCAGTCTCCAGTATAAAATGTAGAGATGGACCTTGGTTTGCTAGACTAAGTGTTTAAAGTGAACCTTATATAAGAGATGCTCAGTAAATTTTGAAAAGCATTGATAGTAGAACCATCATGCTTTAAAAATCTCGGCAGCCAGGCATGGTGGCCCTGCCTATAACACAGCTTCTCAGGAGGCTGAGGCAGGAGGATCACAAATTTGAGGCCAGGCTGGGCAACTTAATGAGACCCTGTCTCAAAATAAAATTTTAGAAAGTGGGTGGGGATGTAGTTCAGTGGCACAGTGCCCCTGGGTTCAGTCCCCAGTACAATGAGGAGGGGGTAGAGGAGAGGGGAGAAAGGTAAAGCTGCATTCCCAGCCCATTTTATTATTTTTGTAATTCTCACAGTTAAAGGTATATCAACATTTTATTTATATTCACATACACAAATGTACACGTGGCAAGAAGTGTCTATGTTATGTGTATGTGTATGTCAGAATATTTTTTTTATTAGCTACACATGACATTACAATGATCTTGGCAATTCATACATTTGAATCAATTGGGGTATAATTTCTCATTTTTCTGTCAGAATATTTTAAATCCTTCAGATAACACTGAGAAGCATGGACTGTTTAAAATGATGTTATGACAAACCATTTTTTAAATTAATTTTTTTATTTTAAATGACAGTAGAATATATTACAATTCTTATTACACATATAGAGCACAAATTTTCATATCTCTATAAAGTATATTCATACCATTTTGTGTCTTCATACATGTACTTTGGACAATAATGTCTATCACATTCCACCATCATTTCTAACCCCATGCCCTCTCCTTTACCCTCCCACCCCTCTGCCCTATCTAAAGTTTCTCTATTCCTCCCATGATCCCCCTCCCTACCCCATTACGAATCAACCTCCTTATATCAGAGAAAACATTTGGCATTTGTGTTTTTGGGGGATTGGCTAAGTTCACTTAGCATTATCTTCTCCAGTGCCATCCATTTACCTGCAAATGCCATGATTTTTATTTTCTTTTATTGCTGAGTAATATTCCATTGTATATATATGCCACATTTTTTAAATCCATTCATCTATTGAAGGGCATCTAGGTTGGTTCCACAGTTTAGCTACTGTGAATTGTGCTGCTATAAACATTGATGGGGCTGTGTCCCTATAGTATGCTGTTTTTAATTCCTTTGGGTATAGACCAAGGAGAGGGATAGCTGGGTCAAATGGTGGTTCTATTCCCAGTTTTCCAAGAAATCTCCATACTGCTTTCCATATTGGCTAGACCAATTTGCAGTCCCCCCAGTAATGTATGAATGTACCTTTGTGCCCACATTTTTGCCAACATTTATTGTTGTTTGTCTTTAATAGCTGCCATTCTGACTGGAGTGAAATGAAATATTACAGTGGTTTTGATTTGCATTTCTAATTGCTAGTGATGATGAACAGTTTTTCATATATTTGTATATTGATTGGTTGTATATCATCTTCTGAGAAGTGTCTGTTCATGTCCTTCACCCATTTATTGATTGGGTTATTTGTTTTTTTGGTGTTTAGCTTTTTGAGTTCTTTATATACCCTAGAGATTAGTGCTCTATCTGATGTGTGAGGGGTAAAAATTTGCTCCCAAGATGAAGGCTCTCTTTTCACCTCAGAGATTGTTTCTTTTGCTGAAAAGAAACTTTTTAGTTTGAGTCGATCCCATTTATTAATCCTTGATTTTAATTCTTGCATCAAAGGAGTCTTATTAAGGAAGTTGGGGCCTAATCCCACTTGATGGATATTAGGGCCTACTTTTTCTTCTGTTAGACACAGGGCCTCTGGTTGTATTCCTAGGTCCTTGATCCATTTTGAGTTGAATTTTGTGCATGGTGAGAGATAGGGGTTTAATTTCATTTTGTTGCATATGGATTTCCAGTTTTCCCAGCACCATTTGTTGAAGAGGCTCTTTTCTCCAATGCATGTTTTTTGGTGCCTTTATCTAATATAAGATCATTGTAATTATGTGGGTTAGTCTTTGTGTCCTCTATTCTGTACCATTGGTCTACCAGTCTGTTTTTGGTGCCAATACCATGCTTTTTTGTTACTATTCCTCTGTAGTATAGTTTAAGGTCTGGTATAGTGATGCCACCTGATTCATTCTTCTTTCTGGGGATTGCTTTAGCTATTCTGGGTCTCTTATTTTTCCAAATGAATTTCATGACTGATTTTTCTATTTCTGTGAGGAAT